ACACAGTCATTCTGAGCTTAGAGTTGTTTGTTTTGGTTCCCCAGAGCTCCAGGAACAGATTTCAATTCTTTGGTAGGTCAAGTTCACTTTCACTTCCAAGTTGGTGACCTCCACAGGCTTCATTGGAGAATTAACATCAGGGCCTAGGAACTGATTTTGTTGGCTTTTTTGCCTTTGGGTAAATTGTAAATAATTTTCCTCTTGAGGAAAATTATAACACCAGAGAAATATTGAGAGTTATACATCTGTTGGTGGGATTTCAAATCCAAAACTTTTCATGTTGATAAGTAATGTTAATAAATGGTTCTAATTCAAGTCAATTGCGTGTGTGAGTGGGTAGTTGTGGCTTAACTAAATGCACATTCTCTTTTCAGATGGTGTCTGAATTGAGAGAGCATCTTTTGAGACACCTACAGGGTGTGGAAAAGAAGAAAATTGAACAGATGGTTTTGGACTACGTTTCAAGACTGGTTGGATTTACTTTTTCTTACTTCCATCCTATTCCCTACCCCTGTATATAAATCTCAGGATATAGTTCAGTGAGCATATTTGTGTCTTTCAAATTAGGTTTTAGAAGATATCCCATCTTCAAACCAATATATTTGGTGCTAAAGATTGAGGAAAGGGAAATAAGAACAATAAACAATGAGAAGTTGGTTTTGAAAGTGATTTACTGCCCTCCCTTCAGCTAGTGGTCATGTACTTCAAGAGGCATAGAACAATGAATTTAGGAAGGTTGCCAAATGTTCACTCATCTTGGCAACTCCCAGCTCCTTATTAAACTCTAACTAGTGATTTCTGTGCCTGGAGATTTATGCAGACATGAGAGAACCTGAACTTCAGTTCTTAATTAGTTCCAACAGCCCTACTAGGTCAGATTCCAGCTTGGTTGCATAAATACTACCATGGGTGAGCTTGCTGATGAGATGGCAGTTCATTACCTGGTAGCCATGTATTGAAATTGTGTAATACAAGTTAATAACACCAGTTCATTTGTAAATAGAAGTGATGTGACAAGATCGAATTAACTTAAGGTGCCTTGGATCTTCCAAAAAGCTCATAAAGTTAAGTCTGGTTCTGTTTAGAGTACAGAAATAATATCCTTTGACAAATTAAAAAACACATTTATAGAGAAAGAGAAAGAATGCTTCATTATTGTTTCAAGTTTGGATAAGACCTCTACACAAAAGAGCCCATGTGTAAACATTTTTGCAGTGAGCTCTAGAAGATTCGTTAAGTTTATTAGATCTGGCTGATTTAATCTCTTCAAGTTTACTTTTAAGATTTTTCACCTTATTATAATCGTTAGTCTTTTTAAATATCATGTTTGAATTTCTATAGAAAGACTTGAGTTTTACTTTTTTAAGTTTCATAATTTTTAATGTTTTAGGAGATATTAGGCATTCTCATATTCTGATATTTACAAATGAGGAATTGAATTTTCCCTAAATAATTTTCCTTCTCAGTAGAACGATAGCAAGGGGGCTCACTTCATGAAAATGGTATTGATCTTACTCATGTTGATGTTCACTTGCTTTCCTCGAAAGTCTGCTATCTTATAACACAATTATTTAACATCCATTTATCACCCTTCTTTCTGTTGACTTTAAATTTCACCTTCCAAAGTGTTCTAGTTTGCATTAATTATTGCTAGAATTAGCAGGCCCAGATATGATATATATGTAGACTCAGAAATCTCAGTGTCCCTGACTTCCTAAATCTGCAATCACTAAATGAGGCCAAATCTCCCTGCCCTTACCTAGCAGCAACCAGCCATACCTCCTCTTCTCCTCTGAGGATTACTGGGTAGTTTTTCTAAAATATATCAAGGACATTGCAGCAGCACTTGATTGTTGTTTACATGTTATCCTGATTTCAGCCGAAGAAATCACTAGCGATAGGGTGTGCCTGTACATCTGTGGAGATTTTCTGCCTTGTTCCTTTTCTTAGCCTGCATGTGAGATGCACCAGTCCGTGGCTGACATCACTGGAGACTGCCCTACTGCTGACAAGCTTGCTGCAAAATTAGAATGGGTTTCTGAGTAGAGCTGTAAGACAAGAAGGTTATCTACTTTGGTTGATTTCAATTATGATGTATTAACCATCAATGGTGCTAATTCTTACAACAGCTCTGCTAAATAATCCCCCCTCATTTTGCAGATGAGGACACTGAGATTTGGGGAGGAAAGGTAACTTGCCTAGGGTTACACAGCTGGTGAAATACGGAACCCGGACTTGATATTAGTCTCCCACAGCTCATGCTCACACCTCTATTCTACTATGTCTTCTTTCTTTGGCTTTTAGCTCTTGGGCCTTGTGGTGTAACAGGTCTAGAGCAAACTGAGTGACACTTGACCTTCACTGATGGGTCTGTAAGTGTGAATGGTGGGGCCAGTTTGCCAAGCTGGGGGGGCTCATTGGGGGCATTTCCTGCACAGACAGAGTGTGCTCTGTTAGGCTCTGGGAAGCATTTTCAATCTTTCTGTTTTGGATTCCTCTGCCTCAGAATTGACCTCAGAAAAGCTGGTTCTGTGTCAGGGCACAGTATGAATGCCAGATGTCAGAGCTGTGTAGGGACAGCCAGAGGAGCCTGGGGGGGGGGAAGCATGTGAGCAGTTGGTGAACACCCTTTTCTGCCCTCTAGCTGGATCTCATTTGCCGCCTAGTGGAAACCTGCTGGAGGAGGCATGATCTTCAGTCTTTTGTTCTCCACTTGTACGCAAGTATTTCCCACTGTCCTTTATCATGATGAACAAACAGGCAACAACTTTGATGGCTACCTATTCTAGCACAGCCTTTTTGAAACTTCCTAGTTCAAAACAATTCTCACCAATCCCAGCCCCATCAATTCAACATTTAAATTTACATTTAAGAGAGAGAGACACAGGAGTACTGCTATGAAGGGGGAATTTCAGTTAATACAACTTATAATTTATGAGCCTACTGTCTGGTTAGATTCTAGGCCTTTGGTTGATGGTCATTGTCATATTTATGAAGCTTTCTGCAGGGCCTAGCATTTCACAATTAGCAGATCCCCTGTGTGATACTTGTAGCCACTGCTTGAGGCAGATGGGACTTTAGGCCCGCTGACACGCTGCTTTGTTATCTTTTCCAGCAATAGGCCTCGAAGTGTTGCTGAATTTGAAGTCTTTCACATCATGACCAGGATTTTGGAAGCTACTAACAGTTTATTTTTACCTCTGCCTCCCGGTAAGTCTGGGTTCTTTTGTCCTGTGGTGTAATAAATTTGTTCTTTCTTTTTCACCTGGTCCCCAGACATTGGCACATTGTGAATTTCATGATAACTGTTAGAAATTGTGTGTCTCACAGTGTGTCACTGTGAGAGATTGGCATTGAGGTTGGTCTCTGCTGGCCAGACCTACCCTGGCTACTCACCTGTGCTGTAGCTTGTGACTACCTCCAAGAAAAAGACTGGATCCTGTGCAATTTTCTAGGGAAATTTGAACCAGTGGTACTGAACCAGGGAGCCCTTTCTCTGAGGTTTTCAGAACTTGTTTATCTGATGGAGATGTCTGGAGGTTCCCCCTTGGGAGGAAGTGATTCTGTGCCAAGAATTGAGCTGATTCTTGAGTGACTGGAAACTAAGTGTTTCCCTTAGAATTTTGAAACAGGACCAAGTCAGGCTTCAAAACACCCTTAGGATATGAGAATGCAATCCATTCATTTAAGTGGTCATTTGTTCATTTAGTCAGCAAACATTTGTAGAGCACATTTCATGCCAGGTAATCTTAGAAATTAGCACAGTTACAAAGATTACAAAGAATCTAGTCAAGATGTAGATATAAATCAGTATCCATAATAAGAAATGAATAAGTTCCTATTTGCTATGAACTGCCTTGTGTTTGTTATGTTACTTTTTTAATAGTGAGAACACCTAACATGGCATTTGCCCTCTTAGTAGATTTTTAAACATGCAATACAGTATTAACCATAGGCACAGCATTCTAGCTCTAAAACTTATTCATCTTACATAACTGAAACGTTTTAAACCTGTTGAAGAGTGTTTCCTCTTTCTCCATCTCCCAGCCCCTGGCAACCACCTTTCTATTCTGTTTCTATGAGTTTGACTATTTTAGATGCTTCATGTAAGTGGAATCATGCAGCATTTGTCTTTTGTAACAGACTTATTTCAACCAGTACAAAGCCCTCTAGGTTCACCCAGGTGTTCGTCCTGCGTATGGCAGGATCTCTTTCCTTTTAAGACTGGACAGTATTATGTTTATATTCTACATTTTTAAAATCCATTTATCTGTCAGTGGAATTTCGTGTTGTATTCATACTTTGGCTATTATGGATAATGTGGCAATGAGCATGTGCAGATCTTTTTAAGATCTTGATTTCAATTCTTTTGGATATATATTCAAAAGTGGGATTACTGAATTATATGGTAGTTCTGCTTTATTTATTTTTTAAATGTAGGATTGTTTTTCTTTATCTTTGTTTATTTTTATGTGGTGCCGGGGATCGAACCCATTGCCTCACGCATGCTAGGCAAGTGCTCTACCACTGAGCTACAACCTCAGCCTCCCTGTTTTAATTTTTTTTTTTTAAACCTACACACTATTTTTCAGTATCTGCACCATTTTACATTCCCACCAGCAGGGTAAAGCGGTTGTCTACATTCTTACCAACTTTTTCAGTGCTGTGACTGAAAGATCTGATGAGAACAATCAGAGTAGGAAAAGTTTATTTTGGGGCTCACAGCTTCAGAGATCTCAATCCACAGATGGCAGCTCCACTTCTTGGGGCTTGAGGTGAAACAACAGCATAGCAGAAGAGTTTGGTGGAGGACAATGGCTCAGGACATGTTATCATGAAGCAGAGAGTCACCTATCCTCTCCATGGACAAAGTATAAATACTAAAGGCATGCCCAGTGCCCCTCCTCCTGTAGCCACTTCCTATCTGCCAACAGTTATCACCCAGTTAATTCCTATTAGGGAATTAATGTATTGATTACATTACGGCTCTCATGACCCAATCATTTCACCTCTAAGCTTTCTTGCATTGTCTCATAAACTTTCAAGAGAACACTTCATATCTAAACCATAACACCAACACTTTCTTCTTGTGTTTGTTATAGTTGCCTAAGAGGTGTGAGGTAATGTCTTACTGTGGCTTTAATTTATATTTCCCTGATGATTAGTTATATTGAGCATCTTTGGCCATTTGTTTGTCCTCTTTGGAAAAAATGTTCAAGTTCCTTGCCCACTTTTTAATTAGGCTTGCCTTTTTGCTTCTGAGTTGTTTGAGGTTTTTTATATGCTCTGAATATTAACCCCTTACAGGATATAAGGTTTGCAAGAACTTCCTCCCATTTAGTGGGTTGTAATTATACAAATTAATTGGTTTCATTGTGGCATTTCCATACATGCATATTTTGAGCTTTGATCATGTTCACCTCCCTTCTCCTACCTCTCTTCCCCGACCCCTTCCTGGTCCCTAGTAGTCTTTTTTTTTTT